TCAGTCCTTCCAATGAACACTCAGGACTGATCTCCTTTAGGATGGACTGGTTGGATCTCCTTGCAGTCCAAGGGACTCTCAAAAGTCTTCTCCAACACCACAGTTACTCAGCCATAAAAATAAATGCATTTGAGTCAGTCCTAATGAGGTTGATGAACCTAGAGCTTATTATACAGAGTGAAGTAAGTCAGAAAGAGAAAGATAAATACCATATTGTAACACATATATAGGGAATCTAGAAAAATAGTACTGAAGAATTTATTTACAGGGCAGCAATGGAGAAACAGATATAGAGAATAGAATTATGGACATGGGGAGGGGGAGGAGAGGATGAGAAATATGGAAAGAGTAACATGGAAACTTACATTACCATATGTAAAATAGACAGCCAACAAGAATTTGTTCTATGGCTCAGGAAACTCAAAGAGGGTCTCTGTATCTATCTAGAGGGGTGGGGTGGGGAGGGTGATGGGAGGGAGGTTCAAAAGGGAGGTGATGTATATATACCTAAGGCTGATTCATGTTGAGGTTTGACAGAAAACAAAATTCTGTAAAGAAATTATCCTTCAATTAAAAAATAAATTTAAAAGATCATATGCTCATTTTGGTTGCCATCACAGATAAAAAAATTCTAAAGAAAAGATCACAAGTTGCATGTGTTCGCATATTAAAAATGGTACTACCCAATAGTCAAGTATACATTATTACAATTGCAGAAAATTTCAAAATTAAAAAAAAGCAACTATGAATATATTTTAACATTAAAAAAATCAGGGAAAAGTTCTTATCATTATTTTATTAAGTGTGGAAAAATCATCCAATAAAATACAGTATTATTCACAAGTTTTAGAAAGCTTAACAAATTAAAAATACAAAATAACATATTTAATCCTTTAAAGATAGATGCCAAAAACCCACAGAAAACATGGTCTATATTATGACTTTAGAATTATTTCCACTAAAGGTAATTATTATAACTCTGTTTATTTAATATCTTAGTAGAAGTTCTAGCTACTACATTAATCAAAAATAGGAGTAGGCAAATAATTTATAGAAATATATGCAGTCACTCTTATTTGCAAATGATATAGTTCCTTGGAGATAGGTCATCAGGACTGTTGTCAGCATATAAAAATTAAACAGCTTATGTATTAAATGAATGACTTATTAGAAAATAGGAAAATACATTTATGATAGCATAAAAACCTATGTGGAGTGAATCTAATGAATATGAAGAAGATATTTATAAAAATACAGCAAAACATTATAGTAACTTTAAAAAGAGAACCAAATAAATGAAATATTACAGCATATTCATGAAAGAGAAGACACAATTTCATAAAGATGTCAATTTTCCCCCATTCTATAAATTCAAAGCAGTTACAATCAATATCACAAAGTGAGCCTTGCAGAACTAAGCAAATATGATAAAATTCATATGGAAATTTAAAACCTAATAAAAGTTAGGGAAGACAAATGAATAGTGAGACATAACGAGATTAAACATAATAGGTATCAAAATGAAGTGTAAAATTATAGTGTGGTTTGACCTACAGATGATAAATATATTGATCAGAGTTAAAATCCCGGAAATATAACAAAGCCTGTATAAGACCTTTTTATAAGGACACTACTAATCAATGGATGATGATGAACTAGCTAAGCAATGGTGTTAAGATAACTGATTTTTCTTATTAAAATTGTCATTTGATCTCTACATCAGACTTTACTGAAGTATAACTTCTAAATAGCTAAAAGATAGAAATTAAAGGAAATGATAATGTAGGAGGTAGCTGTTTTCACCTCTGAGAAAACAAAGAACATTGTGATACATTTGATTAAATGAACTTAACATTTTACAGGACACAAGATATCATATATTATGTTAAGAACCAAAATGAGATTAGAAGATATTTGCAGTACAGAAAATTTGGATAGCCTTAGCATACAGAATATATAACATCTATAATTTGTCAAGGAAAGGTAATAGACATGACAACATATATGAAGGCACATCAACAAAAGAAAAAACGTGAACAGCAGCACAGGAAAACACATTCAATTACCTTAGTTACCAGTTGTTAGATGTTAAGAAAAAAATTTATTAAAAGGAAACAAAAAAATGTTATACTACTTTTGTTTTGGTAAAAAACTCACAATCCTGATGGATATGAATAAAATCAACATATTATATATACTAAAATTCCTAATTCTGATTATAGGTGGGAGAGAGAAATCATAAAGAAGCTTTTGCTCAAATTTACCAGAAAACAAAATAAAGTGAAACAAAATTTTGATTATAGGAAAACCCTAAAACAATTTAATAGGAAAATGTCAATGAAGCAAATTCGTATAATGTAAAATACAGAAAAATTAAAAGTAACAAAACAGATAAATATAAATTTCAAGATTAAAAAAGAATGATAAAAGTAACTTGGAAAATAATAGCTAATATATCATTAATATAGTTAAGAAAATCTATGATATGATACTGCTTGTTGGTCTTCAAACATATATATATATATTTTTTCCATTTTTTAAACTTATTTTTATTAGTTGGAGGCTAATTATTTTACAATATTGTAGTAGTTCTTGCCATACATTGACATGAATCAGCCATGGATTTACATGTGTTCTCCATCCTGAACCCCCCTCCCCAAACATATATATTTAATAAAATATCAAATAATATGGCTCACAACCAAAAGAAAGAAAGCTGGCACTCTTCACTACAATTAATAAAGTAATTTGAGTTAGTAGGCATTTGAAATAAATTGGCTGAATAACTGTAGTCTTGTGATAAATTTATAGTCCAATGGGAAGTAAAAAGAGAAAAATTTAATTTTAATGTTAGGGCAATGACCTTGGTGTTAGAGTCCTAAAAAGAAAGCCAATCCACAGAACTTCGTGGATGTGTGGGGGTGAGGTTGCCATAAAAAATATCCATTTCTTTTTTTACTTTTTGACTCACTTTACTTTGCAGTGTACAAAGAAACTTCTAGCATTCCAACTTCTTTTAATGCAGACCACCATTGGGCATGGTTTTCAGTCACATTACAGCTAAACTTCCAGTTTAACTGCTTCATAAGTACTAAATTCAGAATCTCTGAGCCATTCCTCCATATCAGTAATTTGACTCAATCCATCAGGATTTTCCATTTTCCCTGGTAAAATAGCTTTCCAACCCATTCTTAATATAGTCTTTAGGCTTCTACAGATATTAAATAAATAATAATTGTAAAAATATTGGAAATCTTTTGTTGAGTATAGTACCTCATGTCAGTTCACATTGTAGAGTGTACTCATCCCACTGTGGTGAGTATTTGCTCTCCTGTGTCTTGTTGATATTTAAGCATAGTTAATGGATCTAAGAAACATGAAAGGTGGTAATGGTGGGTCGTAGGGAGGGTCAGTATTAACTAAATGCAATTAACTCATACTTCAATGATTATGTTTTTCATATAAGGGAACACAGTGTTGCTGCTGCTGGCAAGGGAGGTTTGCATCTGTGAAGAATGAGAGGAGTTTAGGTAAGAATATGAGTGAGAGAAGGAATTTTATGAGGAGCCAAGACAAAGCAAGAGATCAAGAGCATGAAAGACCATGTTCAGTATGAGGGTACCCACCCCCCATAAAGTTCAGCTTGAGATATGGATTGGAGCAGTTAAAGGAAGGTCACACCTCAAGTGTTTGTGCGTTCAGATTTTGGACAGAGAGGTATCAAATACTTTTGAGTAGAAGAGAGACATAGTCATATTAGAAATTTAAATGTAACAATGGCTACAATGTGAAGGATGGATTTGAGAAAGAAAAAATGCATCAGATAGCAATATTATCTCAGGCCAACACTTGGTATTTCTGAAACTAATATTTGGAAATGAATTTTGCAAAAACAAAAAGTATTTATAACTGATTTAATATAATAAGATATTACTTGCCAGCAGAAACTTAAAATTAAATGGCATAGTTAAAAAAAAATCCTGAAATAGATGTTAGAACACCTTTTGTTAGGAATTATTTTTTAACTATCTGATCTTGAACACTGACTTAAAAAAAAAAAAAGCAATTATTTGGTGACTACTCTGTGCCAAACTCTAGGCAATAGAGCAGATGAAGGAAGCAAGTAGACTTAGGTGAAATAAAGAAATCAGGAATATGGTTATTTCATAACAAGTGAGTTTGTAGCACAGATTTTCTGATTGAACACAGATTTGCTTGAAGAAGTAGGGAGAAGTTTTGTGTAACTTGTTAAAAACAATAGAGAAGGAACCCAAATGTCCATCAACAGATAAATCTGAAAATCAAATTGGTACACATATACATTAAAGTATTAAGCAGCCTTTAAAAAGAAGAAAAAAAAATCCAATGCTACATCTCTGAAACTCAAAGACAAAGGACAAATGCTGTATGGTATCACTCACAAAGTATCTAAATAGTCAAAGTCATAGAAACAAATTAGAGAAGTGGTTGCCAAGGTCTGGTGGGGAGGGACAATTGTTGTTTAATGGATATAAAACATTTTATCCAATATTTATCCAAACAGTTTCAGTTTTGCAAGATAAAAAATTCTGGAGATCTTTTGCACAACAGTGTGAAGTGAAGTGAGATGAAGTGAAGTCGCTCAGCCGTGTCTGACTCTGCGACTCTGTAGACTGTAGCTCACCAGGCTCCTCCGTCCATGGGATTCTCCAGGCAAGAATACTGGAGTGGGTTGCCATTTCCTTCTCCAGGAGATCTTCCCGACCCAGGGACCGAACCCGGGTCTCCCTCATTGTAGGCATATGCTTTAACCTCTGAGTTGCACAAACGTGTAAATATGCTTAATACTTCTGAGCTGTATACTTAAAAGGGTTAAGAAGGTAAATTTAATGCTGCATGTTTTTTATCACATTTTTTTTTTAAATGGAGAACACAGTATAGAATTTGTGCCATGCTCAGCATGACAGATTGATTTTGATCCCTTTTACAGAAAGAGTTCATCCACAGAAGAGTTCATGGAAGAGTTCATCCATATTAATTATTTTCCTGAAAGTTATTTGAGGCTCTGGATAAAACAAAACCCCCAAAACCATGGGGAGAATAAGGATCAGCAGCACTTGTGGAACCGGGCAACATGGTAGGGGAGGGGGAACTCACAGAGGACAAAGCTGCCTTTGCAGTGGTGTATTACCTCCTACAAAAAAAACTATGAGGCCAGAGAGAAGGAAAATGAGTAGCCTCTGAGATACCCCTAGGACCTCCTGGGGAACACTTGGAGAGGGGGGGTAAAACCTGTGTATTTTAGGCATTATTGTAGTAACGGTAAAGAGCTTGGCCTCTGGACCCAGACTGCCTGGGTTTGAATCTTGGCTTTCTTAAACTCCATGTCTTCATCCATGAAACATGGATCATTACAGTATCTATGCCATAAAATTACTGTAAACATATATTCAAAGAGGAAATTTTGCAAAACCAGTAATTGAGAAAGCGAGCACCATACTTGGAGAGTTGGACTCAGGTTTATTATGCCGGTGGGTCCAGAGGAGTTAACATTCCAAGCTCTGAGCCCCAAACAAAGGGGCTACAGAGTTTTTATAGACAGACTACAGTGGACAACTCTAGCTGTTAGTAGGCTGTTTTAAACTAAGTGGTTTCATGCATGCAGGAAGAGCAGCCAAGATGGGGAAGGGGATGACTGACCTTTCCATGGACAGGCCTGACTAAGCATGTTTGCAGGGGCTGGGCAAACTGCAAAGAGCAAGAAAAGGGTGAGTGTGATAAGCTCCAGTTTCTAGTATTGTAAGTCCCCACTTTCTGAGACTACGTGTCCTATGTGATCTAGACTTTGCAAGGAGCAAGCTGAGTTACAGAGGCAGAACAAGAAGGAGGTTATGTAAAATTTTAACTTTTCCTCTTCAGTACCTTGTATGAAGCACTTAGATAAAAGATTATCTAGATCCTATATGCATATCAGCTATTACTATTTTCATTTATCATCTTATTCAGGGAGTCTTGAATCTATATGGGTAATAGGTAAGCTAAAAAGTCCATGTTTTTGAGGTACTCAGACTAACTGAAGAGAGACATTTAACAATCCAGCTTCAGACAGTGAGATAAAAGATACAACAAATGGTAAGTGCAATGAGAGTACCTGTGACAGGATTGTATTTTAAATCATTTTGGGATATTGCCACATCTAGGATGGGACAGATGAATAATGATTGGCAGAGGACCACTTGTTTAATGTTACAGTGACTTCGGATTGCATGGACACTAGGGGATGTTGTGGAGTTAAGTGTGATGTAACTGGAGTTTAAAATGTGGGGATGAGGGGAAGGGAGGCAGAAATATCAGGATACAAGACTAAAGAGACCAGAGGCCATAAAATGCAAAAATTGTAGTTCACAACAAACAAACTTCAGAAATTTGACCATATTTAGTTGTTCTCAAACTTTAACAGGCATTGTATTCACTGTCAGAAATTTCAATATATAATTTGGAAAGATCTCTCCCTCTTTTATGAGATGCTAATCTGGTAGGCTTAAAAGAAGCTCAGGAACTAAAACAGGTGCTCTGATCCCCACAAAATTTTCAGAACCAGGTCTGTAGAGGTGGTTCTCAAATTGCGGCAAGTGTCAGTCTCCTGCTGCTGCTGCTGCTGCTGCTGCTAAGTTGCTTCAATCGTGTCCGACTCTGTGCGACCCCATAGACAGCAGCCCACCAGGCTCCCCCATCCCTGCGATTCTCCAAGCAAGAATACTGGAGTGGGTTACCATTTCCTTCTCCAATGCATGCATGCTTTCATGCATGCTAAGTCGCTTCAGTCGTGTTCGACTCTGTGTGACCCTATGGACAGCAGCCCAACAGGCTCCTCTGTCCACGGGATTCTCCAGGCAAGAATACTGGAGTGGGTTGCCATCTCCTTCTTGAGCCAAAGGTAAACGGCCTTGAGCTGGTCTCTCAGAAGCCCAGAATAGAGAGAGAGTTTCCAGGGTTGAGAATGGCAGACCCAGGACTCAGGCTTCCAGGCTCCACTTACCAAGGAGGCCATGGTGGCCATGAATGGCCCCCTGGGAGCTGCCCTCTGCCCACAACAGCCTGAGGGGCTTGGTGGGAT